GGAAGCTATAATCCTTTGGACACTGGAAGGCTGCCCTAGAGATCATAAGATTTTTTAAAATTCCTCTCTCTAAAGTCAGAGAGAATGCTCCAACCTCGGGGGGAAAGACATGTGTGGAAAACATCCTTCCCTTCCTTCCCTTCCCTAGGAATGCTAAGGGGAATCCAAAGAGGGAATCCCAGGTTTGGCCAAACGATCAATTGGAAAGGATTATGGAGCCAAAATTGTTATGGAATTACTGCATCAACAGGCTTCTTGGCCTTCAGCTTCTCCCTCCACCCATCAGGAAGAGTTTCCATTAAAAAAAAGATCCTTTACTAGCAAGAAAATGAAAGGAGAATCTTTCACATTATTTAGAAGCATCAATAACGGAGCTCTCAGGAAATAAATCTTGTCAGTGTTTCATTATTCAGTTAGTGGCTTTAAGTTTGTTTGGGGGTTTTTCCATATGAAACAGGATGTAACACGTAAAAACAATCATATTTGCAAAAATAAATAAATAGATGGACCAGCAGCATCTGCAATCAATGCTGACAGCAGAGCATGTCAAGCGATCGGTGCTGAGAGACAGATTAAGGAGTCAACTCACATTCAACTTTTTCCAGCCTTCCTCCACAGCCTCCTTTCAACCCTAGGCAGAATTGAGAGCTGGCAGTTAGATGCTGAGAGAAGTAAAATGGAAGCCGGGTGCCTCAAATTCAAACATTGCTGATCCATTTCTAGTTGTAAAGGAGCAACATTTAGGGCAAGTTGGCTTGCATGGAAGAGATTTTTCTTTGTAGTGTTTATTATAAAGCCCTGAATCTGTCCTGGCTTATTTGGCAGTAGATGAATGTGGCTGTCCAAGAAGAAATGGATCTGTCAGTTTGATTGGTTGAAATGGAGACAAGCATGCATCGTAGATCATCTGAAATAGCTGTCCTCTTGAGTTTTCTGGTCCTTTGCACTCAGCAACGTTGTCCCTTGTTAATTATTCAGAGTAGAGATCATGCCCACCCTAAAGGTCCCCAGAGTGGGGTGGGGAGGTGGTAGAGAGGGGAGAGAAGGGGGAAAAGAGATAGAAAAATGCCTTTCTGAGTGATTTGCCAAAACCAGCCATGGAGGGCTACTACTGAATTAATGATGTAGTTAGGAGCTAGGGTTCATGCTTTGGAAGGAAACGGAATCAAAAGAATTAAAGGAGATGCTAGATATGGTGGATTTGTAGAATTTAGTAAAGGACAAGGAGGCTAGGAGGGAGAATCAAGGAGGAGAGGAATTTGGTTCTCCAGTTAAGTGAGCATTGCACAACCCCAGTCTGACTAGGTGGTGCCTCTGTCCAAGGTCCTAAAATTCTGAGCACCATCTCCTGCTATGTTATTTGAAGAAGCTTCCCCACCACCTGGGACTAGGGGTCCCGCCTTCTTGCCTCATGAGGTTGCTCCCATCCTATCTGTTAAATATCTAGAGAGTTGTTGCATCTGATTAGCAGCTGCTTCATCTTGTAAATCGGAGAGTCCTGGCAGTTGCATCTTCCTTTCTTTCATCATTCCTTCCCCCCATTCCGGCACCCCTCCAAAGCTTTCCTGAGATACACTGGCTTGCCATATGAGAGAGGCTATGCAAAAGGGGTGTGTTTGAGAGCATGCATGCAAGAGAAAGCAGGAAACCACAATCGGGGGCATTGTAGCCCTACCACGCATGCTCTCGTAGCCATCATTCAAACAAATATTATTTATTTCCCCATTTTTATGCAGTTGTTTTGTTTTGCATTCAGTCCCTCCCTCAATCTCACACTCTAGGATAATTAGGCAGGCAAATCTGGGAGAAGTCTGCAATATCAGAGAACCAATGAATTGTTTTCTTTTTGTTGCTTTATCCATATCATTGTTTTATGTAACTAAACTTGTCCCTACCATGATAGTGGGCCCCCACTATTATGTTACAGTATTCCTCCCAACATATTTGTAAAGCGCGATCTGCATTGCATTGTCACCTCCCTGGCACAAATCTCAGTTGCCTCTTAGCTCTGCTAACAGATGCTACTTAATCTGATGCTCCTTTAGAGTAAAACAGAGATTCTGTCTAGTTTTCACTAAAGTGAGAAAGGAACACCACTTCTTTCCCATTCCAATCATATATTCAGGAAACTAGCATGCCAGTGAAAAAAACTAGAGTAATAGGCTGACAGATTTGGCAGGAACCATGAAGGTCCTTAAGTCTATCCTTTTGCTCAGTTTGGAATTTATAATGCAGAATGAATCCATGGCATCCTTGACAGAAAGCGATCCAGCGTCTGCTTAATTATCTCCAGTGGAGGAGACTCAATCTGTTCTACTGCCAAAAAACCTTAGGCATTTCTTTTAATATTGAGCCAAAATCTGTTTGCACACAATTCCTATCCAGTGATTTTACTCCTGTACTCAGCAACAGAAAATGTTGACATTCAGTTTTCAAATATTGCTTTCTTGTCTCATCTCATGCTAAGCCACTGCTTTAGCCACTGTTTCTTGAACAATCCATGCTGTAACGCATGCATAATAATAGGTCATAAGCCATGGTTTACAAACTACAACGTCTGCATTCACACACAAAGCTAAATCAGAAGCAGTCTTCTGGCTTAACATGTTCTGTGAGCCCAGCCACAGTTTTTGTAGATAAGCAAACTAATCATTTGGCCAGTTCCTGATGTGTTCTCCCTCCTTTTTAGCTGCTATCATTTTGAAACTCTACAGATAGGTTAGAGGCTTATATAGCGCATAAAACCAAATTAGAAATAAGAGCAGAAACGGCAAGAAAGAATGCATCTGTGATTGTACATCACGCTAAGCCAAACCCAACAATGGATTCAAGCTGTGATTTAGTGCTCTTAGGAAATACAGCATGCTAACGCAAAAAAGCAACACAAAACAAAAACTGTGCAATGCACACACGCACACACATATACTATGGCTCAGTTTGATATATAAGAAATTTGGGGATGGAGAAGCATTTCTTCATGTGCAAATCCTGGCGTTCTGAACTCATCTACTGCACTAAGTTATTACTAAGTTATGGTTTAGCTTGGCAAGTAGCGTGAACCCAGCCATTGTGGTCTGTTAAGCAGGGTTTATGGCATGGTATGATATGTGAACTCCTATATGGAATAGTCACCGACTGATTATGTGCCATCAAGTCACTGTTGACTCTTAGCAACCATATATATAGATTTTCTCCATGGTGATTTGTCCCTAACCTGGTCCTTCAGGTCTTCCAATGGTGTACCCATTGCCACGGTAACTGAATCCATCCACCTGGCTGCTGGTCATTCTCTTCTTCTGTTTCCTTCCACCTTTCCTGGCATTAAAGCCTTCTCCAGAGAGCTAGGTCTTTGCATAAGGTGTCCAGAGTAGGTTAATTTGAGCCTGGTCTCTCTGGATTGGTTTGTTCTATAAACTGTTTGTTTTTGCTATCCATGATATTCACAGGAGTCTTCTCCAACACCAAAAGCATCATTATTTTTTCTATCCTGCTTCTTCAAAGTCCAACTTTTGTTTCCGTACAGTGTCACAGGGAATACCATTGCCTGCAGTATTCTGATCTTTTTAGGTAGAGGCACATTATGGCATCTGAGTATTTTTTCCATGGCCTTCATGGCTGCTGTACCGAGTGCTACTCTGTGGTGTATTTCTTGACTGTTTGCTCTTTTACTGTTGATTGTTGTTGCTGTTTAGTCGTTAAGTCGTGTCCGACTCTTCATGACCCCATGAACCATATTGC